CCTCCCATCTGCCCAACAACTGAGGAACGTTATTCCTATATGTGCTCTTAGGTGTTGATCAGTTAATACCAATTTGATGGTGAGTACGTGTGGTGCTTATTTTTCCATTCTTGGGATACTTCAACTTAGTAGAATGAGTTCCGGCTCTATCCAGGAGAATACAACAGTTGCTATATCACCATTGTTTTTCATAACCGAATAGTACTCCATGGTATACATATACCACATTTTATTAATCCACTCATGTATTGATGGGCACTTGGGTTGTTTCTACATCTTTGCAATTGTGAATTGTGCCGCTATAAACATTCGAGTCCAGATGTCTTTTTTATAGAATGTCTTTTGTTCTTTTGGGTAGATGCCCAGTAATGGGATTGCTGGATCAAATGGTAGATCTACTTGCATCTCTTTGAGGTATCTCCATATAGCTTTCCACAGAGGTTGCACTAGTTTGCAGTCCCACCAAGCATTGTGTGAGTGTTCCTATCTCTCAGCATCTGTGCCAACATTTATTGTTTTGGGACTTTTTGATAAAGGCCATTCTCACTGGAGATAAGTGACACCTCATTGTGGTTTTGATTTTCATTTCCCTGATGATTAGAGATGTTGAGCATTTTTTTCATATGTTTGTTGGCCATTATTCTGTTTTCTTTTTTTTTAATTTTTTTAAATTTTTTTTTATTTCAGCATGTTATGGGGGTACAGATGTTTAGGTTACGTATGATGCCCTTACCCTCCCTCCCCCTCAAGTCCGAGCTTCAAGTGTGTCCATTCCCCCGGAGGTGCGCATCGCACTCATTTTTTGTGCATATGCCCGTCCCCTCCTCCCCCCCCTTGCCCAACATCCAATACATGTTATTCTTATATGTGCACTTAGCTGTTGATCAGCTAATACCAGTTTGATGGTGAGTACATGTGGTGCTTGTTTTTCCATTCTTGGGATACCTTGCTTAGTAGAATGTGTTCCAGCGCTTTCCAGGAGTATATAAGAGGTGCTATATCACCATTGTTTCTTAAAGCTGAATAGTACTCCATGGTATACATATACCACAGTTTATTAATCCACTCATGTATTGATATTCTGTTTTCTTTTGAAAAGTTTCTGTTCATGTCCTTTGCCCATTTTTAATTTCAGCTTTGCCTACTTTTTGATAGGGTTGTTTGATTTTTTTCTTGTTGATTTTCCTGAGTTCTAAATAGATTCTATTTATTAGCCCTTTATCAGGTGTGTAGCACGTGAATATTTTCTCCCATTCTGTAGGTTGTTTGTTTGCTCTCATGATAATTTCTTTGGCTGTGCAGAAGCTTTTTAATTTGATCAGGTCCCATTTATTTATTTTTGTTGTTGCTGTGATTGCCTTTGGGGTCTTCTTCGTAAATTCTTTGCCTAGGCCAATGTCTAGAAGAGTATTTCCAATGTTTTCCTCTAGAATTCTTATAGTTTCACGCCTTAGGTTTAAGTTTGTTATCCACCGTGAGTTGATTTTTGTGAGAGGTGAAAGGTGTGGATCCTGTTTGTCTTCTACATGTGGCTATCCAGTTTTCCCAGCACCATTTGTTGAATAAGGATTCTTTGAAACTGGTATCAGACTGAATTATAAATTGGAATTGACTAAGATCATTAAAATTGATTTTGTGTGTTAGTGGTTATCCTTTATGACGCAGATTTTTACTCTAAGCCCCATTCTGGCTGATGCGGAAAAAGGAAAAAAGGCAATTATATTCTTGCATAACTGGGTCTATGACTACATCTTGTTGCACAAGGAAATGTCTAGAGATATTTAGTTTTAACCATCATGAGACCATCTAGCACCTCTGATGCACATAAGCAGGTACTGGGCTGACAGGTGGAACAAAGGAAAGCTGGCTGAGTGCAGAGAAGCAAGCAGCAGGGGGAGCTTTTTTTTTTTTAACTCATGGATTTCCATTTTTCAAGAAAGTTGACAATAAATGTACAACATTCATAATGTTTATCAATACTTGCCATCTACCATGGGGAATGCAATGATATCACCAGTCACATGAAAAACAGAAAACACAAACCTGGATCGGCATGAGCATCTTGAAATAATTGCTGATTTTTGAAGTAGAAGATTGTGTCTGAAGATTACAACTTAACGTGCAATGCAGAAGACCATTTTCATATCACTATGGCATGCAACTTTTAGATAAAGTAACTGGTCTTCTAAATTAAATACACTCATTTTATTTCAGAATATTATGTGGGTACAAACATTTTGGTTACATGTAATGCCTTTGCCTCACCCAAGCCAGGGCTAGAAGCATGCCCTTCCCCCATACAGCGTGCTCCATCTCCATTAGTTATGCATTTACCCACCTCCACTACCCCCACCTGACTGGCACTCAATGATTATCATCACCATGATGGGAGCTTTCTAAAGCTGAGGCCAGTGCATTCACGAGTGAGTCATGACGACATTCTCTATGGCCTTTCGAGGAACTTGTTCTGATTACTCTTCCTGTCTTATCATCCCCCACCCAGGACCTTTCCATACGCAAAGACTGTTAAAAAATATGCATTTTAATATGTTCTAGACACTAAGTATTTTATGTTCTCTCATTGTGTCCTCATAAAAAAACAAAGAGCTATCATCATTACTTTAGGAAGAGAAACCTGAAGGTTAGATTATACAAGACATCCAAAGTCTGACATACTTTTCCAGGTGCATCTCTGTTCTTTGAGTTTTCAGACTCCAAGTTCTTAACCACCTACTAAGAACATGGCCCTTTACAAATAACCACAATGATGTCGCCTCCCTCAACCATCTCCCAATCTTTACCTTTTCCATGAATACTTAGAGGTTCAAGTGGGGCCAATGAAAGTACCTTTTACTCCCACTCTGAGCATTAGTGATAGAAAGGAACAGACGTTTGTGTGAGGGGAAACATAACACTGGCTTTGAATAAGATATTCAATTATTGGGCATGTCACATCTCCATACTGCATTCTCCAGTGAATACTCCCTATCATCCCATTGTGAGATAACCCCTCCACCAAAAAAAAGCCCAGCCATGAGTACAGCTGACAATGGAACTAAAAAGCTCTAATGTAAGCTCACACCCTGACTTTGCTAGAACTGGGTGTTGTCATGGGTGGTTGTCCTTGAATGAACCAGGAACATACATACAAGTGTTATTTTCTATTATCCCCTTCAACACCATATGAAGAAGCTAGAGATGATTGGCGTTTGGTCTGGGTCTATGGTAGACCCAGCAGATCATCTAGGGAGAAATACCTTACTATAGGGTTTGGAGGTTATTCCACCAGGAAGTTCTTAGTAATAATCCTACTTATCTGCCTTATGTGATATAAGTGGACTTTAAGCATTATTCCAAAGAGCTGTCTTGTGACAAAAGCTCCTGATCATTTCCCTCGGCACCTGTGCTACGGATAGGATTTGAACATCTCCATCTTCTCCAGGGCCTGGGCTTACGTATGGTCAGGAGATCACTCTGTCAAATATATTTCTTGCTCTGAGGCTTATATGGTATCTTTTCAACCCCAAATTTAAAGAAGAAATCAGATTGCATTTGGCACTAAAGTTACATTCCTAGAAGCCCTCCCTGTCTTCTCCCAATAACTGGATTCAGCTTTGGCACTGGACTCCAGGGAACTTGATATGGGAGAATGACCATCCCTCACACCAAAACAATGAATATTAATAAGATGTGACCCAACCAATCCTGGAGTTAGGCATAGATTCTGAGGAAATAGAAATTTGGTGTTTCTTCATGGATAAGCTAAACATTAAGAAGAGTTTTTGCTATTCCAAGTTTCCTACATTTTTGGGAGGATATATTTGTATTCTAACCCTACCTAAATCACTGGCTTCTTTAGATATGTAAAAATACTAATATGATTTATTTTTTAACATAAGTTCAGTTACTTTAGCCTTCTTAGATATTGCTATGGGTTGTAAACTGAGGAAGTTAAGTTGTTTACAATCAAAAGTTTGGGAACTAAGATGTACATAACCATGATTCTTGGTCACTAGAATTGGGAGTGATGCTTCATTCTACTTGTCATGCATCGCCACATGGTCTCTGCAGATTTCTGGCCTGAAGTAGTCCTCTCATTATGGAACCTTTATGATCAATAAAAAGGGTCAAGTTGTAACAAAATCAGAGGTAGCAACAGGAATTTTCCAAAGATCTGGAATCATTTCAAGGTGTATATCCACCCACAGGGCCTCCATATATTTTCATCACCTTTGGCGCATCTGTCACCCAACCTCCTTTATAATCCACTTTTCTTCCCTCTGTTACTTTGCTAAATATGTGGCTGCTGTCCCCCAGATAAGCCATCTCAGGGCCTCTGAAACTGAATCTCGTAACAGTCCTCCCTGCCTCTCAGTTAACTCTCTTAGGGGATGTGGAATGTTGCAAACACATCTACTTAAGTGGGGTAAGGACCTGGTTTGAGGAAATTAACCCCCGTGGGTGGTAAAGTCTCATTCGGTTAAGATTTCATACTTGTAATTTTCTCCATCCTTAAAAAAAAAAAAAAGTTTTCTGGGATAAGCCAAAAGGATTAGAAAAGCTTTCCAGCACATTTTACATTTACCAAACTAAAAGAATTAGTAAGCTGTCTTCCAGAAGGTGTTACAGTATAATTCTACCTTCTAGAAATTGTGCTTTATAATACTTTCCAAAGAGAAACTAGAAATTTTACACCAAAATAGTGAAGGATAGAAGTGATCTTACTCCCCATGGGCTGTGTGCTCATGCTTATTGTGCTTAATTTTATGGAATTACATAGGTAAGAGGAGGAAATTATAAAAACTCATACCCTGATTTTTCTACTTTCAGATATTGGATCTATGCTGCACAGAAGATCTATTATCAAACAGAATAGACTCTGATTGTCTTTAATCCCTTATCCTCACAGTTAAGGTAGGGCCCAGAAATTTCATAGGCTTCCACCGTCAGCCTTATACTGTTATCACAAAGTATTTATATGCCCCATAGATATAGAACAGTCACCTGAGTTGAGCCCCTGCCTTAAAAATGTGGAAAAGTCTCTCTCGGATCTGCTTGGTACGGACAGCATAGACAACAGGGTTGAGGACAGGTGGGATGAGGAGGTAAATGTTGGCCAAAAGGATATGGGTATGGGAAGGCACATCATGGCCAAAGCGGTAGGTGAGAGAGGAAACAGCAATGGGTACATAGAAGATGAGGATGGCACAGATGTGAGAACCACATGTCCCTAGGGTTTTAAGCCTGGCTTCAGGGGTGGCTAGTCCCATTACGGCTCTGAAAATCATCACATAGGAGGTGGCGATGGCCAACGAATCCAGGATTAATACCAGGAAGCCAATTCCCATTCCATATAAGTCATTGAGCCTTGTGTCACCACAGGCCAGGGTGACCACGGCCATGTGCTCACAGTAGGAGTGGGCAATGATTTTGGTCTGGTAAAGGTGCAGCCTTAGGCGAATCATTAGGGGCAGAGGTCCAATGTAGAGAACTCCCCGGAGGAGGGCAGCCAGCCCTAAACGACCCACCACAGCATGGGTGAGCACCGAGGTATGGTGTAGTGGATCACAGATGGCCACATAGCGATCAAAAGCCATGGCAAGGAAGATGCCTGATTCAACAGTGGCAAAGCAGTGGATGAAGAACATCTGGGCCAAGCAGGCACCCACACCAATGTTGTGGACACCAAACCAGAAGATGGCCAGTAGTTTGGGCATCGTAGAGGTTGACAGAACCAAGTCAGTGACAGCCAACATGCCTAGGAAGAAGTACACAGGCTGGTGTAGGCTGCGTTCCATCTTTACCATTGCCAGGATGGTCACATTCCCCATCACAGCCACCAGGTACATGGAGCCAAAGGGGATGGACAGCCAGATGTGCAGGGATTCCAGTCCTGGGATGCCAGTGAGCCAGAAAGAGGTAGGAACAGAGCAGGCATTATTAGAGGAGAGCATGTTTGGGGGTATGAGGTATCCTGGGCACAGGAGCTTAGTTTTAGAGTTCTACTCCTGTGAGAGATGCTGCTTCTGGAAACTGATGACTAGATTCTAACGTCAATCCTGGGCAACTGGTGGCACCTATGATAAAGAATTCTGGATGACAACTTGAAAAATCAATATATTACATGTTTTATAAGAAGTTATCCATGACTCCTACTGTTAAGTGTAGAAACAGGCATGCTTATGATTTTTACTGCTACGTTGCCCTGTTGCACTGTAGAAATTTCTAAAATTGTACATCCCCTTTTAACTAGTTTTGTGGAACTTTTCCTAAAGGAAATGAAAAATACAGAGAAGTTCAATGTAATACTTACATGTATATCCATGTAATGTGTTTAGCCCAGTGCCTGCATATGCTTCTCATCATTGGTCAATAGCAATATTAGTATCAATAACATACATTGCTCAGCTGTTTTCATTAGTACAAAAATCAGTAATTGCCAAAGTTGGAGCAACATACCTTCAAAAATAAGAGCATTGTTTAAATTCCATTATATCCATTCAATGAATTAGACTATATTGATGTTTTTAGATATTATAATATAAACATTATACCAGGAAATAAGTGAGGGAATAGCAAGACACAGATTAAATTGATTTAATTTTATGAAAGAGTATGTATGATATAGAAAAACATCCTTAAATAGAAAAGAATCTGGGAAGATCTGCACCAAGCTTTTATCTGATTTTGGGTCGATAGGATTTTATGGATGATTTTAGTTTTCTTCTTTTTGTATGTTTGTATATTGTGACTTTACAAAGTGATCAAGTGCTTTAAAAATAAGCTTATAAATTATAAAAACCTGATTTAAAGACATGTAAGGGGACAATTTACTAAGGAAAATGTCAGCAAAGTATAATTCCTTTTTCTCCAAATGAGTTCAACACTGGTTTGTTTAGATTGTCAAGTCTGATTGACTTCTTCAAAGATGTTTAGTACAAAACCTAATTTCTCAAAGAAAAAGATCTCTCATTTAAGGTTGCTCAGATTTTATGGCTAAACAGGATGAACAGAAAATTCCTGAAGATTCCTGAAGAGTTTACTCTAAGGAAATATTCTTTTAAATTTTCCTAGTGAGAATCTGGGCATCACCTATGATTTAAGTAAAAAAAAGAAGTAGATCTTTTGAGGAAGTGTTACTATATATTTTGTCCATCATCTGATAACAGGGATTAAGAAGAATGGACTGATGTAAAGCAGCAAAACCCTTCTTACCGACCATATCCTTCTTGGTCTCTAGTTTTTGAGGTAACAAGGAGATTAGCAGTAAAGCACTGACCATTGTTTTATAAAAGCCTTGTCTACCCCTTGGCCCTTCTGTCCTTCGGGTGCCTGCACTAAGAACCTAGCAATGAATCCCGCTGTCCCGGTCCTTGGGGCTCAGAAGCTGAGTGTCCTTCCCTGTCTCAGCCTTGCCTTCTTGACCTTATCAGGTTTTCAGCAGAGTCAGCAAGTCCCCTGACACCCCACAATTGCATGGTACCTTTCTGCACAAAGCCATGTTTTTGCTGGGAAGTTTTACCATCTCCTTGGTTTTTACTTAGGGAGATTTCCCCCATCGTTCAAGGCCCATCCTAGATCACTCCTATAAAGCCTTCTGTGGTATCAGTCTGTACCAGAGTGGGTGGGCAAGGGGAAAAGAGGTCATAGTCACCAAATTTCCACAAATTGTTTAAAAAGTACACTTTTTTTCCCCTAAAATATAAATAGCAAGTACGTTTCCATAGAAATAGCATAAGAAATGTCACTGTAGCTTCATAGGTTCCCGATTTTCCTAATTCCAGTTCTAACACACAGTTCGTTCTAAGTTCTTATGAGTTAGCTTCTTCCTTGGTCGGGCATTGTGTCTTGTAACTGAAATAAGACATGAAAGTTTTGTGATTTAAGAGTTAATGTAAAATGAAAAAACAAACAAAAAAAACCCTTAACTTTCACTGATTCTTCAGTAATTCTGTGAGTTAGGTACTTCAATATGCAAATAAGTGATAACACAGGTTGAGTCATTTCCTCTGGGTTCAAATGTAAGTTTTCTCTGGATCTTACCAGATGAGATAGGAAAGGCAAAGAGGTCCTGGGAGGCAGCACCACATAGCTGCTCAGGGCACCAGCTTTGCCACATGACAAGCCAGGTGTCTCATTCCAGACCTTTATCTTACTGTTTGGGTAAATTGCTTAGCCTCCTGAAGCCTCCCTTTTTCATGTGTAAAGTGAGGAAGGTATTGCAAAGCATAAGTATATAAAACAAATGAAGTAAGTGCGAAGCTCTTGGCACATGACAGCAGCTGCTTTTCCCTGAATTCTTACTATTTAATATGGAGTAGACCAAAGTTTACATTCTACAAATTGGAGTAATTTTCTTATGATTCTGTTACATGGGACATCTTAGAAGATACCTCAAAAGTATAGGAATTGTATAGATGGGACAGGGATTCAAGGAGAACACCAGACAATACACAATTTTATACGTAACAGGGACAATATTTGAAGTGTTCTCTAAAGATATAGTGATGGACTATCATCTTAAAAAGCAGAAAGGTGTTTAATGACTCAATGTCAGGGTGAGTCAAGGTAGCAGTTACTGATCACAAAAGAATCAGTGTCTAGAGAATGACTTTAAACCTAGGTTTCTAACTTTGATTTGTGTTAGACCAGTATAGCCAATGAAATTGTAACTGAGTTTTAGGCTGGGGCAAGAGAATGTTAAACATATGTATAAAAAATATCCACCAAGTTGGCAATAGGCATCTCAAGTGGTGGTCTGAAATAAGTGGTGGCATTGAAATTGTGTCACTTAACCTACAGCATTCCAGAGCAATATTGTGTGTCAGCCCATTTGAGGGCATCCTCACCTGGACACTGGTGACATTCCTGCAAATTCTGTGACAGGCATTCTGATGGTGGGTCCAAGGATTCTGAAAGGAACATTTTGTTGTGGTCACATGACCATGGCAGGCTCAGGGCCAGAAATGGTAGAGTTAGTATTTGAACCTATATCTGTCTTCCTTCTGTGATTTTAGACCACATATTTTTTTTCTGTTTGTTTCCTGGTCTGTGAAATGTGGGGAACAATAGATGCTTAGAGTTGCTTCATGTATTAAATGAACTGTAAGTGTGTGTATGTATATACACAGAGGGCCAGATGTTAGGATGCCTGGCCTCAGTAGTATTCTCTTCACCTATTCCTCACTCTTTGTCCCCTACCACAGGACACACAGTACTATTTTACATGACCTTTGTGACTCTGTATCCTTTTCCAGTATGACTAGCCTCTTTTACGTGGATGCAATCAATTGGAGAGACCTGCTGATGGTGTAAGGATCCCGCCAGGAGAGAAGGTTGCCTGACTCGTGCAGAAGACAAGAGGCCCCAGCTGGCTGGAGTAGTCCGATCTGTTCTCTCCTGTTCTCAAGGAGAGTACTAGGCAGCTTAAGGCTTCTACACCTTGGTGTTTTTCTTTGACTCATAATCCTGGAGAATTTATATTCAACTTACCACTGTAATTTTGACTGGTGCTGTGAAGGGAAGCCCTGGATAGACCAAAAAACAAATGTAGTTTCTGAAACTTGGAGACTCCTTCCAATGACTTTGGCTTCTTCTCTGGAATGTACTTACCCACTGGTAAGCTCTGGGCTCTGTTCCTTACTATGGTCACACCTCTTGTTTGGATGCTTGGACAAATTTAGCTGTCAAGGCAAGGCTATGCTCCTGATCTCTTCGCCACTTTCTTCTGTTCCTCCTTTATCTAGGTTCTAAAAATAGATAGTTACTTCCCAAGCATTGCACAGAGAAGCCTGCACATTTCCACCTGGATATTTAGTTACCCTCCTGAGATCAGTCTTCACTTCCCATCCCATTTCACCTCCAAAGACTAGAACACAGACTTTATTCCTACTCCCCAAACCTCTGTCTGGGCTCTTGGCTGGCCCCAGGTCTCTGAAGATCCTCCCCTGGGCCTGAGGTAACCAAGGACTCCAAGAGGGATATAGAGAGTGTACACAAGAGAAGAGTGGGAAAAACCATCAGGTTTTGGTAAAACCAATATGGACACTTTTTGTTAATTATTGCTATTACTAAAAAAGCCTAATATAAAAATATAGACTATACAAAGGCAGCAATTACTTAAATATACATCTTATTAACATTGTAGTTTTTCATTCTGTTTAAGATTCACTATTGCAAGGTTGTGGAAACAGCCCAAGTGCCTGTCAATGCATGAGTGGATTAATAAAATTCGGTATATGTATACAATGGAATATTAATTATAAGAAGTGATGGTGATCTAGCACTTCTTATATTTTCCTGGATAGAACTTGAGCCCATCCTCCAAAGTGAGGTATCACAAGAATGGGGGAATAGGCTCTATATGTACTCGCCATCAAATTAGCACTAACTGATCAACACTATGATGCTCACACGGGAGTAATATTCTTCAGGGATCAGGGGCTTGGGGGTGCATAAACTCACAACTAATGGATGCAGTGAGTATGGTGAGGGGGAAAAGGCACGCCTCAAATCATGGTTTGGATGTGGCAAAGTCATAACATGTAACCAAAATGTTTGTACCCCCCTAATATCCTTAAATAAAGATTTGTTTTTGCTTTAATATAAACATTTATGATCACAAGTTGAAACAGTTGTGTCCTCATTTCTGTGGGTACTTAAACTTCACAGAGTAGTGGGAATGCTGGGTTTGGTTTTATTACCAAAGTGGCAAAGACACTTGTCAATAATTCTTTTTCTGCTCAAGCTTAGTATAGATTCCAAGAAGTGAAATTGGCCATTGTGCAGGCTCATAAATCCTGTTTTCAAATTGCTTTCCAGAATCATTCTTCCAGTCTGTTTAACTTAACATGAAGTAAATTCATTTGCAAAATTGCCCTATATTTTAAAACATAGTATATAGATGGAAAAGGATCTTGATTACATTTCTTTTGTTTCTATAGAATATGAACACTGCTTGTTTTTTTTTAACATGTCATCTCAGTTTGATTTTTAATTCTTGAACCAATCAGCAAGATGGAACATGTCAGAATTTGGCATAATTGAGAACTTTTTTTTTTATTTCAGGGTATTATGAGGGTACAAATATTGTGGTTACACTTTATGTCTTTGCCTCACCCAAGTGAGGGTTAAAGGCATGCCCTTCCCCCCTACAATGCTCCCCATGTCCTTTAGTTGTGGGTTTACCACCCCCGCAAATCCTCCTAATCCCTGGAGAGTATTTTCATTCTCCCCACTTTCACATATTAAGAATCTAGTCAAAAAAGTGGGAAAAGAAATTTTTCAAAATAAGTGTTGGCTACAACTTGTCCACATAGAAAAGATTGTTTTCTATAGGAAGTTCTGACACTTACACAGGAGGTACTTTTATAATCACTTTTAATGACTTGATACTCCATCTTGATTAGTTAGAAAATCTAATTTGAGGGGACTCATTCACATAATTTTTTCTGTATCTTTATTGTATCATTATCAGGTCCTAAACTCTCATTTTAACCTCAATGGCCTTATTGGCCCCAGTCTTACAGTAAAAAATAGTTTCTTAGAATTACTAGATTGAAGGACTTCTATGTCTAAAATTTTGCTGTATGGGAATTGATTTCTTGTTTGATCTACTGGTTGGTTCAGGAATGTTTAGTTTTCACATGTTTGTGAATTTTCTTTGTTAGTGATCTCTAGGTTCATACCATTGTGATCATAAGAGATACTTGATGTGGTCTGGCACTGGTATCCAGTAGGATGTCCGTAGGAGCTATCCTGAAAAGCCTGGGTCCATAAGGGCCAACATGATGCTGGGCCATCCTTGAGCCTGGGTTTGTGGCGGCAGGCTTAGCCCCTCAGTCCACTGGAATCTTGGGCCATCATAAAGAATCTACAGGGACTGGATTCTTTATGATTTCTCTCTTTGATCTCATTTTGTTCATGTCATTTTCTGGTATCACTGAATTGTCTATCTGTTGCTACATAGCTGAGCTTCTTTAAAAATTGTTTTGAATTCTTTGTCAAACAATTGTCTCCATTTTGGGGAAATAGGTTACTGGAGAATTATGTTCCCTTGGTGCCATCTCATCTTCAGTTTGTTTTCCTTATAGCATTACATGAGTATCACAAAAATAAAATAACCTACCAAAACTTATAAGATGAATCAAAAGGAATACTAAGAGGGAAGTTTATACTAGTGAAGTAGAAAATTGGAAAATTCTACTACTGGGCTTCCACCCCTGCAACCTTTCCCCAGCAGCTGCTGCTCTCATAAATCACCTGTACCAATTATCGTACTAGGTGCAGAAGTAGCTTAGGACCCCGCCCCGTTAAAGTTAACCACGTTGTATCTGTGCCCCACTTCCTCCCTAAGCAAAGTGTATAAAAGACTGCTACGTTCTTTATTCGGGGCTCAGAATTTGGAGGCAAGTCCCCTGTGAGCCCACTGGCGTAAAACAAAACCTGTTTTGCTATACTTCCGTCTGCCTCTTCGTCTATTGCCGATCAACTCTGCTGTAACATTTGGTTCCCTGACCGGGAAACCCTGATTGAGCTGGCCCTTTTAAGGCCACCGGCCTGGGACAGGACACCAGCCGGCCCCTACGACAGAACAAGGTGCGCCCTATCCCGCTTGAGGATATTGTCTTCTTCGCTCGGAGGGGCTCCACCTACCATGAGCCTAGGACCTTCCCGGACAGCGGTGAAGTACCGGCAACCAGACAACCAGGAAAGGACATCAGATGTCCATGGCGGTAAGGTCCCGGAACTCTGTCCAAAGGTAGCCAGGCCCATCTCAGGATGGAAGAGGAGCTTGGTCACCTCCTAAAGAAAGGTTTAAGGTTCCCCAAAGGGGGGAAGGAATGTAATAACCTCGGTGTGTATGGTGTGTATGTAAGTGTGAGTGCTACATCTCCACGGTCAAAAGCTCCATGGTCAAAAACTACGGAGCTTGATTGGGTCCGTACCTGCTGTTCTGTGGCAGAGTTGGAAGGCATAACGGTGACTCACTCCTCTGGACAGAGAGTGACCTGGCCCTGGGTTTATACGGGTGCACCTTAGCCAAGACATGCCTAAATTCTGCGAGGGGAGCAGCCAGGTGGACAATTGACAGTAAACCCCACCCTGTGTGACACCGATCAGTAGGATACAATGGGAGGGAAGGAATCCAAGCCAACTGTCCTTAGGTGTGTGATCAAAAATTTTAAGAAGAGATTTTCCAGTGACTACAGAATTAAGATGTCACCAAATCGCCTCCAGAAACTCTGCGAAGTAGAGTGGCCTTCCTTTGGAGTTAGGTGGCCCGATTCGGGCACCTTCAACACTTCTATTTTCCAGGCAGTCTGGAAACAGTTACAGGTACCCCTGGACACCCAGATCAATTCCCCTATATCAATTCCTGGCTAGGAATTGCCCAAACTCTGCCCCCTTGGGTCCGGTTCTGTGTAGAGAAGGGTCAGAGTAAGGTCCTCTTTGCTCAGAAGCCAAGAAAGTCTCTTGACCTCAACTCCAAGCCCATCCACCAAGGGCCGTGGTAAGATGAACTCCCCCTGCTGCCTCCATACAATCCTGGTGACCCAACTCTTGGACTCACACTGTGGGCACCAGACACTCCGCCACCCTCTGACCCACCGCCCCCGATGCCCAATGACCTGGCCGTGGAGACTCTAATAGCTCGCCGTCTCCGTTTTGCCCAGAACCCAACTCCATCCCTCCAATTCCCGGTCCGTGAGGTCCGAAATCAACTGCGGGTTGCCGATGATGGGACCGTCCATCAGGGACCACTGGTATTCTATCATTAACTTTTTTCAACTACACATATACTGAATTGGAAACAACATACTCCTCCTTACTCAGAAAAGCCACAAGCTATGGCAGACCTCCTAGAGAGTACCTGTCATACTCATCAACCCACTTGGGAGGACTGCTGGTAACTTCTCCTTAACCCTCTTCAACACTGAGGAGCCGTGCCGGATCACTGCAGGGGCCTGGAAATGGGTTCAAGACAATGCACCAGCGGGTGTCCTCGATCCAGAGACGTGGGTGCAGTGAGCAGTCCCAGATGTTGTGCCTACGCGGCAGCCCCGGGAGTCAGTGCCACCGCCTGTGCCCCATGCGAGCTCCTGCCTTGGTGCCTGTGGCAGACTGAGGGCTGCCACCGGCTGGGACCTGGCAGGAACGTGTGGCCGCAGAGCTGGGCAGGGCTGGGGACAGTGCCTTTTGTCCCCGGAGACCCCTGGAAGTGTGTGACGGGCGCGCAGAGGCAGCAGGCAACCCCGACGTGGAGGAGCCAGCGCGTAGAGCTGACATGGGCTGCAGTGCAGGGGCTGCCGGTCGGCTGGCCTGGGCGTGCTGCTGGCGCTGGCGGCCATGCTCCTGGCGGCCAGCTGGGCCAGTGAGTATGACTACATGAGCTTCCAGTCGGACATCGGCTTGTACCCGAGTGGCCACTTCTATGCCAAGCCGCCGCAGTGCATGGACATCCCTGTGGACCTGTGGTTGTGCCACAATGTGGGCTATAAGAGGGTGGTGCTACCCAACCTTCTGGGGCAGGAGATCATGGCTGAGATGAAGCAGCAGGCCAGCAGCTGGATGCCCCTGCTCAACAAGAACTGCCACATGGGCATGCAGGTCTTCCTCTGCTCACTCTTCACGCCCGTCTGCCTTGACCAGCCCATCTACCCATGCCGCTGGCTCTGTGAGGCCATGTAAGCCCGTCATGCAGTTCTTCGGCTTCTACTGGCCTGAGATGCTCAAATGCGACAAATTCCCCAAGGGGGATGTCTGCATCACCATGACCCTACCCAATGCCACTGAAGCCTGAAAAGCTAGATGGTTTTGTGGGAATGAATATGACTCGACTGTTGGAGGTGGCCCAAAAGATGTACCGGAACTGAGATTGTGCGGCCCAGAGGGAAAGTGAGAAAATAAAACATAAGGCCACACTCCTGGCAGCAGCACTCAGGACTCCTGTGTCTACCCCAAGGCTCGGTACAAAAGCTGAGAGGGGGCCCTGCAGGAAAGGAGACTGCTAAGAAAATAAAAAATAAAGGTAAGAAAATAAAAAATAAAGAAAAGATTCTCCAACTATTGGAGGCCATATGAGAGCCAAAAGAAATAGCTGTTATACACTGCCGAGGCCACCAGAAGGACACAGGCCCAGTAACCCTTGGCAACCGCCTGGCGGATCAAACAGCCAAAGCTATAGCTGAACAAAAGCCACTTAAGCAGAACATTCGACAAGTCAGCCAGATTCTTTTAGCACCTGGATGGACAGAACAGCCTGAATACAACCTGGAAGAAAACACCTAGGTGAAAGGGGAAGGAGCCTGGAAGACTGAGTCAGGGTGGTGGCGCCTACCAGACAGTCAGATTTTCATACCCAAAAAGTTGGCCTACTTAGTCACCTCCAAATTTCACTTACACTCACACATAGGAAAGACTGCCCTAACCACCCTACTTAACCGACATTATTACATCCCCAGGCTTGCTTCTCTAGCTGTGATCATTTGTGCTTGTTGCCAGACATGCGCCAGAAATAACGCATTTGCATGACCCAGGTCTGCTCCAGGTATTCAACATACAGGAACATCTCCCTTTGAAGATGTGGAGGTCGATTTCACCGAGGTAAAGCAATGCAAGGGAATGAAATACCTGTTAGTAATATGCACCTTCTCAGGATGGACCGAGGCTATTCCCACCCAAACTGAAATGGCTAAAGAAGTAGTGAAAATTCTTCTAAGGGAGATCATTCCCTGCTATGGGCTGCCACTCTCAATTGGCAGCGACAACAGACCAAGTATCACAGCAGAAATCACAGACTTCAACTAGAATATTAGGGGTCAAATGAAAACTCCATACTACTTACAGGCCACAGAGTACAGGGAAAGTAGAGCACATGAACTTGACCCTTAAAAACACCCCTGCAAATGTATGCCAAGAGACAGGGTTACCTTGGATAGACTTAGTTAGTCTAGCATTGCTTAAAGTCAGATGTACTCCAGGGTTGACAGGATATTCACCCTTTGAAATCTTATATGGAAGACCCCCACCCGTAATTAGGCAGCTTAAGGGAGACATCACCCAGATAGGAGAAAAGACCCTACACACTCAACTTATCTCCCTGTCAAAAATCCTGAATCAGATTCATCACAATGTTCTAGAAAAGATCCCTATAGTGATGGGACACCCAGTTCACTCACACTAGCCTGGAGACTCAGTCTGGGTTAAAGACTGGAAAAAACACCACTAGAGCCCACCTGGACAGGCCCCCACATTGTAATCTTAATCATACCCACTGCTGTTAAAGTTGCAGGAATAGCAGCCTGGATTCATCACACGAAAATAAAGAAAGCCACACCTGAGGAAAACTGGGACACCTGGACAGTGCAACGACCCAGAGGACCCACTGAAGATCCACCTCTGGCGTAGTGATGGCCCAGCAACCATGCCAGAGGTCACCCAAGCTGAATGACTGAGCCAGGCTATTACATCACCATTGGCCTGATCGGACTACTAGCCCTGTTAGTGAACATCGGACTTTATTCAGTTTCTCCAAAGGACTGGGAGTGGGAGAAAAGATAATTCTCACCATGTCATATTGGGCAGTAATAATATTTTTCTTTTGGCATTTTGACATTACCCCTGACCTCCTACCTAAATGTTACTTGTATCACTAAAACAGGAGAAAGTGAAATAGTAGGATCCATACTGGGTAAACTCTGCACAAATAACCAAACCCTACCCACTAACGCCAACATCACCTGCCCCCGGAACAGCATATTCTTTGTGGAGATATTGCTTACCTCTGTGTCCCAAAGTAACTGGACTGGGACCTTCACTCAGGTCTTCCTTACCCCAGATATTCCTATCTTTAAAACTCAACCACTAGAGGCCACACTAAGCCCCCACCCAAGTGTCTGGGAAAAGCAAGCGGCTCCTTTACTCATACCACTCCTCGTGGGAGGAGGCATCATAGCTGGGATAGGGGCTACATTTGGTGGATTAGGGGCTTCGCGACATGTCTACCAAAAGCTATCTCAAAAATTAAAGACATACAACAGGTAGCAGATTCCCTAATAATCCTCCAAAACCAACTAGACTCATTAGCAGCAGTGATCCTCCAAAACAGGTGAGATTTAGACCTTCTCACTGCTGAAAAAGCAGGGGACTTGCATATTCTTGGGAGAAGAATACTGTTATCATGTAAATCAGTCAGGAGTAGTAACATCTAAAGTCAAAGAATTAAGAGAAAGGGTCCAAAAGAGAAACAAAGAATTAGAACAAACATGGGGTTTTAACTTAGGACAAGGGACCCCATGGTTATTGCCACTGGCTGGACTGCTGGTAACAATTCTCCTCCTTGTCACTATAGGCCCATGCGCACTGAGCGCAATTATAAAGTTTATAGAAACAACTGCAACTCAAAAGACAACAGCCCACATAATGGCCTTAAGGGGCTATCACCCATTAGATAATAATGCCCTATAATAGACACATGAGGACAAATGCCTCATGGAAAATATATAGGGGCATCAAAGAGGGGTAATGAAGTGGAAAATTGGAAAATTCCACTACTGGGCTTCCACCCCTGCAACCTTTCCCCCGGCAGCTGCTGCTCTCATAAATCACCTGTAGCAATTATTGTACCAGGCGCAGAAGTAGCTTAGGACCCTGCCCCATTAAAGTTAACCACATTGTAACCGTGCCCCACTTCCTCCCTAAGCAAAGTGTATAAAAGACTGCTACATTCTTTGTTTGGGGCTCAGAATTTGGAGGCAAGTCCCCTCTGAGCCCACCGCATAAAACAAAACTTGTTTTGCTATACTTCCGTGTGCCTGTTGGTTTGTTCCTGGTCAACTCTTCTGTAACACTAATACCTACATTAATAAAAAAAGATCTCAAACAAGCTAACTTTAACACCTCAAGAAACTATAACTAGCTCAAAGTTAACAGAAGATAAAGATTAGAGCAGAAATCAGAATAAAAAGTTAAAAAAATTAAAGAAGACTAGTAGTTGGTTTTTAAAAAACAAACGAAATTGACAAACCTTTGGACTAAAAGAATTCAAATAAAACTATGAATGAA